AAAACCGGAAAGGAACTATTGTGTCACAAGACGCGTATTGCTAGCTGTGGAAAAGTCGTTGCAACATTTTAGCAAATATCTTCTGGGGCGAAAATTTCACTTACGAACTGACCATGCTGCACTAAAATGGCTATTGCAATTTAAAAATCCAGAAGGACATGTTGCGAGGTGGATTGAACTCCTGCCAGAATACGACTCTGAGATCGAACATCGCAGCGGAAAATCTCATGGCAACGCAGATGCATTGTCAAGAAGACCTTGTCCTGAAGATTGCAAACATTGTGCTAGGCAAGAGAGTAAGGAAGTGGTATCCGTGAGGATGCTCAGGGCAGACCACCTCAGCAACGAGTGGAAGGACAGCTTACAACGTGCACAGCAGGAAGATCCGGACATCAAGCCGATCCTGGAATGGATGAAGGCCAGTGCTCCCAAGCCCAAGTGGGGCGACGTTTCAGCGATGAGTTCGACCACTAAAAGCTATTGGGCCCAGTGGGACAGCTTGCTGCTTCAGGATGGAGATCTGTGCCGTAAATGGGAAAATGTTCGGGGAGACAGCTGTGATTTACAAATGGTTGTCCCTAAAGCTAAAGTACCGGATGTTCTACAGCTGTACCTTAATGATTATTTAGGAGGCCATCTGGGAGTTAAACGAACTCTACTGAAGATCCGCGAACGGTTTTACTGGTTCCACTGTCGAAACGATGTCGAGGACTGGTGTCGCAAATGTACAAGTTGTGCGGCTGCAAAGGGACCTCAGACTCGTAGTAGAGGTGCATTGAAGTTGTACAATGTTGGTGCACCATGGGAGAGAATAGCTATTGACGTGGCGGGGCTGTTTCCGGAGAGTGATAGCGGTAACAAGTATTTCATGGTTGTGATGAATTACTCTACTTATTCACTAAGTGGCCAGAAGTCTTCGCCATTCCAAATCAAGAAGCTTCAACAGTTGCAGATAAACTAGTTCATGAAGTCTTTTGTCGTTTTGGAGTACCTTTAGAGATTCACAGGGATCAAGGAAGGAATTTTGAGTCTCAAATATTCCAGGAAACTTGCCATGTTATGGGTACTCATAAAACAAGAACGACTTCTTATCACCCGCAATCTGATGGAATGGTAGAACGGTTTAATCAGACATTGGAGAGGTACCTAGCAAAAGTTGTAGACAATCGGCAACGAGATTGGGACAAGCACATACCATTTTTGTTGTCATATTGAAGCGCTGTTCACGAAAGTACAGCAGTGACACCAGCTTTCGCAAACTTTGGAAGAGAATTACGGCTGCCTGCAGACCTGATCACCGGGATACCACCTGATGCTCCACGCAGTATAACCGATTATGCAAATGACTTGCGGAACAAAATGAATGACGTTTATGAGCACGTCGGACAATCGGGCCAGCAAATGTCTGAAAAGATGAAAACCCGTTACGACCGCAAAATGAACAACAAAGGGTTCGACGGAGATTCGCTGGTGTGGTTGCACAATCCAGTCCGCAGCAAAGGGAAATCTCCTAAGCTTCAAGCTAAATGGGATGGCCCGTACCGGATTGTGACCAGGATCAACGATGTAACCTACTGGATACAGAAAGGCGCAAGAGGGACTCCTAAGATCGTCCATGTGGATCGCCTGGCGCGTTATTATGGGGCCGATAATGCTCGGGACGAGCAGGTCTTAGGAGGGGGCAGTGTTACGCGCCTTAGTCGACGGCACTAGCGCCTAGTTGAAACTCGAACTCTCGGTACCTTGCGCGTGTTTACTTGAATATTCTGGATATTTCCGTGCTAATTTATATAAATAGGCGCTGCAAGATGCGATCGAGGAAGTATGGAAGTTGGCGAGACGGCGAAGCTTCGGAGCGGAATAAAGTGAATCAGTGTGATTAATTATTAGTGTTTTAAGTTTTAATTGGTGTAAAGAAAATTAAAGTGTTAATTGGGTAATTCTGTCGGCAATTTTTATTGTCACGAACCTCAAGCTCGTAACAATATCAATATTATCTCAAAATATATTCAAATGGATAATATTTAACTATGGCAATTGTGTACTACCTTTAGCTTAACCTAATTCTCTAAGGTGTGAGGTTTACTGCACAAAGTGTGGAAGAATTCCGGACAATTCAGATATAGGTAATAGAAATTACGGTAAAAATTTCAGCCTTATCTTGGTACTGTTACACCCCGGAAGAGGAGAAGCCCACAAAAAATGGCGTACGGGAACTGCTAGTTGACGCGGATCCAGCCAAATAGATGGGGCTACTAGGGCAAAGGGATTTCTCATGAGATACGTAAAAGAGATCCCACCCCGTAGAGGTACACCCGGGTGCCTCTACTAGGCGCAGGTGAACCACCTGTGTCTGGAGCGCCTGAACCAATTGTACCAAATTGACGAACTCTTTTTCGTGAAAGGAGTAGTCATAGAGGCCTGGCAAGGTGGAGAGAGACCGGCAGAATGCCACCGCTGCTAGGCCTTTGGCCATGCATCTGCCAACTGCTTCAGGCCAGTGAACTGTGTTCGGTGTGGGGGAATAGAGCGAGAGGGGGGTCTGTGACCGGAAGACAAAAGGGTCCCCCGAGTGCCAGAATTATGGAGGTGGGAGGAGGGAAGGGGGCTTTCTGTGCATGAAAGTGATTGTTGATGTGATCTTCTCCCCCTTTGCTTGAAGAAAAGAAAGGGGAGGAGAAGAAGGACCCCCTAGGGAGTGCATTTTAGGTTAGGGTACCTATTGTGGTATGAGGAGTTCTACAAGCAAGTAGATGGTGTGGCGATGGGCTCACTTATATCTCCCATTGTCACAGACATATTCATGGAAGAATTTGAAGAGAAAACCTTGCTTACTTCTCCCGTAAATCCAAGATCCTACAAGCGGTACGTAGACGACACTTTCATAATATTAAATGTAGATAAATTAACTGCATTTTTAGACCTTCATATCTCCATAAATTCTAAAATTCAGTCCACAATGGAGTTAGAGGCAAATAATTCTTTAGCTTTTTAGATGTGTTAGTAACTCGGAATCCTGATAACACCTTGAGCCACAATGCGTATAGAAAAAAGACCCATACAGATAGATATTTTAACAGTGATTCTCACCACCATCCTTCATAGTTAGCTACCATGGTAAATTTATGTTTCAGAGAACACGAGGGATCTGTGAAAATAAGCACTTGCCTGTCAATCAAGTTTTTCATAACAACAAGCTTCAGGTCTCACACCTACGTCACATTGAACGAGTGAAGCCGGCCACAGTCGAGCGTGTACCTACTGTACTGCCATATGTCAGAGGAGTAACTGACAAGATTGACTACATCTTGAAGTGCACTTCCATTAAATCATACTTTAAGCCGCCGAAGAAAATTGGTCAGTTTTTGCCATCAGTCAAGTGTAATATCCCTATGCAGGATGCAGGAGTGTACAAGCTTGATTGTGAATGTTGTCTCTCCTACAGAGGACAACCTAAAAGATCAATTAAAACCCTCGTTAAGGAACATATAGCTGATGTAAATAACCTGCACTCCGGGGAGTATGCAGTCTGTGGACACGTACAAGATCGCCCCCGTCACTACATCAGATTTAATAAATCACAAATCCTCGCAAGAGGAAACTGTTTTGTACCAAGAATGATACGCGAGGCTACTGAAATTAAAAAACATCATAATGTCAATACCGAAATTGGATGGGTGCTGCCATCTTCTTGGGATCCTATAATTAACAAAATTAAATGCAAACTCAAGCCTACCATACCTGAAACGTCGGGAATTAAAAAGAAGTTAAAAATAAGTTAATTAAACGCGATACAAACCGTATAAGTGTTTTTATTCAATTTAGTTGTTGCCGTTGGGAAGAAAAATCTAGTTCATAGAGTACTTTTTTTTACGAAAAGTCGTCTCACTGACGAAGCTGCTTCGCACCTGACTCCAACGGGCGTGTGGTAGTAAGCCAGGCAGCCTCTTGCGAGGCCTACCACCATATGGTGGGATCTGCAGCCGTTACTACACGCTAAAGCAACCAGTGATGTTGCTGCCCGGGGTGAGCTGCTTGGAGGTAGATCCCAGCCACCCGAGGTATGTACCTTTCAGATACATACCTTTTTATTGCCACTGCAAAGCAAACAAACAAACCTAGCTTTGTATGCTTTTTTATGATTTTTTAAGGTGGAATTATGATATGACTGACGATCGTGAAATAAATATTCAGTTTGCCAGACTGCAACTGGTGAAAGTTTCTATCACTAGTGAGTGAGGAGAAACTACTTGAATCATGTCATATTTAAAAGGTTTCGGGGCTTAGATTTCGTCAATAGTAAACTAAAGTATATGTAAAACTTTCATTTTTTTTTAAATGAATTTGCATTAACAATAGCAAAACGATTATAAAAATTACTCCACACCTACTTTAACAACTGTTTAGTTTTTTATGTTAAAAACAAAAGATAACTCCAAACCAAACAATGAAGATTCTGTTAACGTGTGACTTTCTTAAATTATATTTTAATACTAAGTTAATATAATGCAACATCGCAGAACTAATACAACCTTTGAAAATCTAGAGTTATTATGCTTACTAACACTTTATGGATTTTAAAATTGTATGATATCTCAATAACTGCATAGATACGGTACACTATACCTTCGAATAATCGAACTAACATTCTATACAATATATTATTACGTTTTGTTCTTTTTCTTTTTTTATACGTTACTCTTACACTAGGATTTTCTCATGTATTGTGGAGGCAGTTTACAAACAAAAATTGCACAAAGGCAAACATCTAGACCTGGAACGATTATTTGAAGGCCATAAAATACTTATTACGTGTGGGACTAGAACCCGCGGCCCCCAGCTCAGCCACTCGTTGCTTAGCCACTGCGCCACGCAATCTTCATAATAAAATATCGTTATATAATACTTCAGATATTTTAATTAGTTATCACTTTGGATGTGTTTATATAAATGTCGTTCATAAAACAAAACCGCAGTGTTATCGTTATACCGCCACGAGAATGGTTGATAAAGTAGCTGTAGTTACTGGTTCTAACAAAGGCATAGGTTACGTTACTGTTAAAGAGTTGTGTCGTCGTGGAGTTGGAGTAGTTTATTTAACAGCAAGAGATGAAAAACGAGGTAATGAAGCTTTAGAAAATTTAAAAAAGGAGGGTCTTAATCCTATTTTTCACCTACTTGAAGTAACTGATAAGGAAAGTGTAAAAAGGTTAGCCAAACATTTAAAAGAAGAACATGGTGGAATAGACATACTTATCAACAATGCGGCGGTCATAACGGCCAATTTTCGTGAAACGACTTACGAGGACTCCGTTCGTGTCCTCAACGTAAATTACTTTAGTATTCTCACAATACAAGAACACCTTTTTCCTATTTTAAGAGATAACGCGAGAGTTATCAATATATCAAGTGATGCAGGACATATTTCAAACATCACAAATCCAGAATGGATAAAACGACTAACCAAAAACGACCTAAAATTGGAAGACGTTAATGCATTCGTGTACTGGTTTTTGGAATCCGTAAAGAACGGAACATTAAATAAAAATGATTTTGTAGAAAATGGCTTGTTGGCGTATAGAGTATCGAAAGTGGCTTTAAGCGCATTAACTAGAGTGCAACAAAACCAAGTAGGCCGTGGTATTTCTGTAAATTCGTTACATCCTGGTTTTGTCAAAACAAGTATGACGAAAAATGCCGGTTTTCTAAATCTAGATGAAGCTGGAAATGCACCAGTATATTTAGCCTTAGATGCAGATCAGTCCCTTAAAGGTAAATATATTTGGTTTGATAAAACAGAAAAAGAGTGGACCGATGCTCAGCTAAAGATACATTGCAAATTTGATATTTTCATAAAACATGTCGAAGAATTGTAAGCAGTCATAATAAAGGTTTTTGAAAAAAACTAAGAAAATAACAAAACTATAAGTACAAAATGCAATGTAAATTTGGTTTAAATTGTATTTACTTATTTCTGTCTTATGAAATTCGTAAAAATATATATTTATAGTGTATCTGTATTGCAGATATTTAATTGAGTTTTATTTTATTTTCTATAAAAATTTACACATTTTTATGTTTCCAAAAATTTTACACCTTTTATGTATTATAAAAAGTAAGAGTTATAGTCTGTTAACGTTTTACTTCTGGGCACAGGCCTCCTTAATTTCATTCCTGAAAATTGTATGTATGTATTACTTCGTCTACTGTTGTCGTTAGTGGACTTCAAAACCAAAATTTATTTCTCAAATATGCAGTTTCCCTCACTATATGCAGTTACTAAAGAGCGCGCAACAAATCATCATTTAAAATTATTTGCACTATTTTCGAACTCAATTTTATTTTCATATTGAGTAATTTACGATAAGCGCTTAGCTCTAACCTTCCACGGTATCATAATATTATAATTTTTGAATACCTATTTTTAAAGCCAATACGAGTCATTAACTGCGGATTAAGATGCATGTAAGAAGATACCGAAAAAGATAGTGTTATATATATTCAAAAATTTTGATACAATCTCAGGTGTAAACGAGCATATAGTCTGATTGCTGGTAATTATGAATGATTTGGCCAAATTGTGTCAACGCATGGGAGACCCTCTTTGTATGAAATTGTGTTTAGATTTACACAGGCTACATTATCCAGATACCATCAGATGGATGCATCGTTTGTTTAGCAACATTTTTAAACGATAGCCTACAGTGAATATTCGTCTAGCAATGCGTTTTATATATAACATATATAATTGTACAAACATTCAGATCTATTAGAATTATTTGCAGAACTTACAAATACTTGCTCTGTGCATAATTTAAAGCTGCAGACACAACCAAACGCTTAGCCAATGGATTATGAAGCCATCACACGATAACAGACATTACATTAAAAACCGTCATCATATTACTTAGAAATATTTTAAATTATTAGTTTGCAAAGATAAATTATGTAGTTATTAATTTAGAGATAAGCGAAATGACACCAGTTTGATGTCAAGGTCATGCTACATAAAAGATATCCGTGTTATATCTAGTATAGACAAATAAAAATATATTTCACTAAGATGTGGATAAATTATAGAGCCGTGGTAACTCAGATAGTTAGCGCTCGCTGTAAATTTCGCAGTACGCGAGCAATCCAGAATCAATCTCCGCCGGCACCAATAAAAATGTTAAATATAATTTTAAGTGCTGATTTACCACTTGCTCGGCGGTGAAGGTAAACATTGTAAGCAAACCTGCAGCTCTAAGAATTAAAAAAATATTGTGAAGTCATGTGAAGTTCGTCAACATGCGGCAGCGCAACAGACACTTCCTTACCCTAAAACCCTCTTAGAAATGAGAGGAAACCTATGCACAACATTGGTACGTATATAGGTTGTAACTTTTAATTTAAGATATGAAACATCGGCGCCGGCAAATTATGTATGCATTACAAAAGATGAAGCAAGTCTTTTGGTTCTAATACATGTAATATCGACAACAAACGGGTGAAGATCCGTCGACCGTCCGGTTATCCGATGTAAGAGAAGGAATTAAGGCATGTAATTCCTGCACACACTCTCCCAAATTTAAGTTTGTAAGAGATACAGGGAAATTCGTTTAAGGAATCATTAGCAATTCCTTCATCATCATCATATTAGAGTTCAAACCTAGATTTGAGAAATCTTGAAGGGATAATTTGTTGGTTAAAGCTAGAGTACATCAAAACTTAATCCGTAAAAGTAATTTTGATGCACTCCGGGTTAACACTGATATCGGGACGTCAGTCACCTCAGTCCCCCGTGACCATGGGTGCTGTGAAGCACCCGAAACGTCGAAAATTAAAAATCAAATAAATTGAACTCGGTAAAAGCTGTAAAAGTAGTTTTAATCGATGTGTAATTTTCGCGTAAATATAAGAAATCATTTTGGGATAGTTTGTCTTAAACGCCACGCTTGGTAATCGGTATGATGATCGAAGTACTAGATTTTATGTTTATGTCATAGCCAAAAGCCGAAATGCCTGTGGGTGTTGTAAGATGTGGCAATAGAAAACGCCAGAAAAAACCAATGACATACATTAGGATTTTTTAAAACCATATTGACAAACTAACGTTTAATCCATCTGATGTTAAGTTATTGCAGCAGGCCATGGATACCTGCAACTAACTTCAAGCAAATAAAATAACTCTGGGGAATAATATAGAAATCCCATAGATAGCAATTAAGCTGGCTCGCTTAATACCACAGAAGTACAAGCGCTGCTATTTGGCGGCAGATATGGTAAGAGTGTGATAGCTACCCAAACGGTCTCTTAGGTAGGAGAGGACCTTAAGCTTACCTCGTAAAGTAAACTTTTTCATAAAAGGGAATAAAATTGATAAAAAATATTATATAGGTGCCAAACGACTCTGTATCTTATTACATTATTTTAAGTGAGTTAAATTCTAAAGTTGCCTAATTTATTTATTTCTTTCGTGTAATATCATTAACTGTACTCTACTTGACTGTAGTCCAACAACACGATATTGCATTTTAAGTTCCGAAAATACAACATACAATACTTGTAATTTAAATGGAGGAATAGTTCTTTTCAAGGAGATAAATACACTTACAAGAGATTAACTATCTATGTAACATAATTTATCATAGTTTTCGTCTAAGTGAAGGTGACAAAAGAGCACATAATCCACCTGATAGTAGTGGGTGCTATGATCCATAGACACCTACATTACTTTTATATAATAAGGGTGATTGATGAGCTCGCGTTCCACCGGAGTTAAGTGGTTGTGGCCTAATAGGTGGTGTCTATACACCTATATCTATTCTTCATTTTGAATCAATAAATTAGGAATAATATAAAAAGAAAAATATACAGAAATGTCTCTCGCATTAAGAAAGATGTAGAATCGAAATGTGATTGCATTATATTATTTATGCTTGAACTTGAAACATGAATATAAATCCCATGAAGAGTAAGCGTGTATTTTTGATATTATATTTTTAACTATTCCTGAAATTGAAAGTTAATTTTAATAAATATTATATTGTAGTGTACTTTATGTATCATTTTCGCGAAACATAGGAAATTAATAAGAATAAAAAATATTGCACGTCAAAAGAAGTACACTACTGGTAGTTAAATGTTTATCTAAAATCAATCTAAAAAAAATCAAATTTATAACAATTTATACAATTTAGTTTTATAAAGTTTTTTTGAACGTAATAAAATAATAAAAAAAGTAGAATTTCTGTTATTTAAAGCAGTTTGTTTGACTTACTTGTTCTTGAAAGGTATATTCTTTACAGCCTTTAAAAAGTCCACTACTTAACATAGGTTTCCCCTATACACTGCCTTGTAGACTGTTTGGGATGTTATCGGGAAGATGTTGGATTTTTCCTATTCCTCTCCCCTTCGTCGGCTCCAACAACATCTTTGGGATGATATGGGTTAGTGGGATTCTCATCGCCGCCTTTACACGGCTTTAAAGATTACGTAACCAACCAACAGTGGAAAAAATATATTACGCTGTGGAACAGCATTTGAATACTTTTGTAGTAGACAATGCAATAAAACTAAATAAATAAAATAGATAAATATGGCGTTTGACTACAATACCCTAAGTTGTGGGTATGATTTCCACATGGGCAAGTACTCTGATGGAGTAATATTTCTACAGTCTCTAGATATATGTTAAAATACTTTGGTGTACATTTCATTAATAAAAAATACAGTTAATAATGAGCCCATTCAGATAAAAGATAAATTTTCCATAAAATTGGCAATAATTTGCGCATAGTTACGATATTCATTTCAGTTCGAAATTTATCATTGTAGTTCGTAATATTGCGATACACACGACTCCTAATTTACGTGGCCCAGGCAAATTAGCCCAGGTCCTTAGGACTCCCTAGGCTCGTTGGATCTGCACAAATGACTTCATAGTGTTCAATTGTGCACATCCAAGTCATACACAGTCAGAAAGGTACACATAAATTAGAAAAATGTACTAGTTTTGATTAAAAGTATTTACATGTTTGTTAAATTAAAGAATCTTTAGAATTTCACCCATTTAATCATGATACAAGATAGAATTATCCAAAAATTACGTAGACTTGGAATTTAAGTTAGATTTCGGGGATAATCCAAAGAAGGTATCAAAGAATTTTCATTAGACCTAATTGGAATTCGTTTCTCTTCGAAATCGGTTTTCGAATTTCTTAAAGGATATAAGCATTAAGGGAATTTGTGTTACTTGAGCAAAATAGTTTAGCAAAATTAAGAAACTGATTTTTATATAGCAATATTTTTAAATCAGTTAAACTTTAAATTCAAACAAATGCCAAGTAAAAATATATTTTTCCTCAAACTTAAACTGCTCTTGGGTAGTCACATAGTAATATAAAATACAGGAAGAGTGGCAAGGGGCGTGTCTGTGTCCGCGCGCTGATCAAAATGCTCAACTTCTATACAAATGGCTGTCTCCGCAAATTAGTGCGCTTTCGACCGTCATCGTGAAATATTATCAGAATGCCATGTTGTTCAGTGGTTTCTTGTAAAAACCGAAGCCAAAACAAAAACTTTGTTAATCACTTACAATATCTAAGTATAAGTATTTTGTTATATTTATCGTTAAAATCATATTAAACAACAAATGGTAAAATATTCCCTGTTGTTACTACGTTTTTTTTTCAAATATCACAGCGACTGTAATATTTTGCAGTAAATACATTGTTCCGTAACCACTACCTAAGTATGATGCCAAGTAACTGAACAATTGATACATTGCATAGTACGGCCGCTGTATCTTGCGACGAAATAGTGATGGGCGTGTGCAGATCCACTACCGATAATGATGTGGACTGGCGAATTGTTATTATAGTTTATTTTCCAA